AAGTGTGCTTTGCACAAAAAAGGTTGAAAAACACTGCACTAGACACCGCCATGCACTGTACACTGTAAAACTGGACACCGCCATGCACTGTACACTGTAACGCATTGGACACCAATATGCACTGTTACAATGCAATGGAACACTGTAATGCACGGTTACAATGTAATGCACTGGACACCGCAATGCACTGGACACTGTAGCCATGGACACCCAGCCATGCACTGTAAACTGTAACACACTTGGCACCGCCATGCACTGTACACTGTAATGCACTGTACTCTGCTTCCTGGGCCACTGCAGTGCACTGCACTCTGTTTAACAACTGCGTGTGATCCAATGGACATTACTTACATTTTAGTGAGACAGTGCACGGTGGCCAAGGGTGAAATCTGTAGTACACTCAGTTAATTTCCTGGCTGCACAGGTGAAATCATGCACTGGATCCTCAAAATGCCACAATTACCGCCTTCATTCATCTTTGGGGGGCATGCACTGGTAATGCACTGTACTGAAGACCCCTGCATAGGCGGTGACACTGTGTTTTCCAACAGCAGTGATTCAGTACCATACAAGCATGGCGGTTGTCCATTGCACTGTAAAGGCACTGTAAAAAAAGTTCTGTGCTTCCTCTTTGTAGCACAAAAAGGCCAGGAAAAAACATTTGAAAAATGAAACACTACTGGTACACTATGACACCGCCATGCACTGTGCACTGTGACACTGTAACTCACTGGACACCGCCATGCAATGTACACTGTAACGCATTGGACACCAATATGCACTGTTACAATGCAATGGACACTGTAATGCACGGTTACAATGTAATGCACTGGACACCGCAATGCACTGGACACTGTAGCGCACTGGACACCGCCATGCACTGTAAACTGTAACACACTTGGCACCGCCATGCACTGTACACTGTAATGCACTGTACTCTGCTAACTGGACACCGCAGTGCACTGTACTCTGTAACGCACTGGACACCGCAATGTATTGTACACTGTAACGCACTGTACTCTAACTGGACACGACAATGCACTGTGCCTGGCGTGCTCTCCCTCCTCTCCTGTTGCTCCTCTGGCTGCATCAGGTGAAATCAGGGGCTTCCAGGCTGCCGCTCGCTGGGTCCTCGAAGCTGAAGACCCAGCGAGCAGCCCAGCTGTTTGCTGGCTGGCACCATTTTTTTTTTTTCTTTTTCTTTTTGGCTGGCCTGACAGGGCGGAAAAAAATGCTTTGGCGAGCCATAGTTTGAGGACCCCTGCTATAGAGAGATTTCCCAACTCAACAAAATTCCCACAGCAGTTAGATTCCTGTAAAATAGCGTAATGTCTTGTCTATAACATTTTGACTTTTATAGTTAATAGTATATTATTCAGTGTTGTATTCTTTCAAAAGCAATTTGTTTTGACCTGCTGATCCTCTTTGAGGTTTGATTTGAGATAAAGGCTCCAGAAAGTCTCATGTTACTAATATTATTCATTAAGTGAATTTAGCTACTGAGCTGCACCATTTTTTAAAAAGCGATTCTAAAGGTTAATTTTTTTTTTTTAAAATAACAAACATGCTATACTTACTGTGTGCAGTGGTTTTGCACAGAGCAGCCTGGATCCTCCTTCTTGGGCCCCTACAGGCTCCTTTTGGCCCCTTCCTTCTGTCGGGTGCCCCCCACAGCTTGCTATAGGGGCACCCGCTGCTGTGTGTGTCCATTCACACATGGAGCCACAGCTTGGTCCCTCCCCTTCTCTCTCCTCATAGGCAGACTGGCTGTGATTGACAGCAGCAGGAGCCAATGGCTCAGCCAATGTCTGCTGTCTCAGCCAATGAGGAGGCAGAGACCCGGGACAGCCAAGGCTGTTGTTCACATTGCTGGATCGTGATGAGGCTCTGGTAAGTATTGAGCGGGCAGGGGGCACTGCTGCACACAGGTTTTTTACTTTCATACATAGAATGCATGAAGGTAAAAAACCTTGAGCTTTTACAACCACTTTAAAGCCTAAAGCTGGCCATAGATGGATTGGATCGTGGCTGATTTAGAAGGGACCGGCTCAGATTTGATCCATCTAAGGGCAGGATAACCAGCCTGTCAGATTGTTTGCATGCAATTACTGCTGGTGGCTATAACCGCCCAGCAGTGATTATTGTATTCTGCAGTTGGGGAAGGCTTCCTGCTGGCAGAACACAATAGCGCTGTGGCAGCGATTCCCCCATTAACACTGACTGTGTTGATGGGATAATCAAGCAATTTTGTTGATGGAAGGGAAGAAAATTGCATAAGGATAAGGGACATTACTTACATTTAATCAGAAGCATACTTTGTGCTGATTTTGGCAGTCTTGGGTTGAAATCTGAAGTCCTCTGCAGAAGTCATAAATTTCTGGGGCTGCCGAGGTAATACAAGCACTGAACCTGTCACAGGCACTCCTCAAGAATGCCAACTATGCCCATCCTTTCTGTCCCCTCCCCCAGTCATATAAGCCGTACTATTGCTTCCATTAATGAAAAGTGCTCTGTGAATTGAGGAGGGACCCGTCCTTCATTCATAGATCGCTTTTCATTCATAGAAGCTATATAGCACAGCTTCTATGAATTGGGGGAGACAGAAAAACCAGGCATAGTTGATATGAGAAGGGGACAGACGATTTCAACTATGATAGCCAGTACCAGTACAAGGGACACATCTGATCAAATGTAAGTACCGTTCCTTGTGCTGATTTTTTATTTTTACCTACACTTAAACGTTTTACAGAAAAAAAATTAAATGGTGACCCTACAGCACATATGTCAAACACAAGGCCTGAATCTGGCCCTCCAGACCATTTCATGTGGCCCTCGCACTTCTGCAGGTGTGGCACCCCCCTCGTCTTTGCCCCTTGCACCTTGTCTCAGCAGTCGGCATCAGAGAGGACAGAACTCCCCTGCCAGATTCTGTGCTTTTTGCTTTCTAGCTCTGCCCCAGCTTCTTTTCGGCAGCAGCACAAGGTAAGGGGGTGCATTGTGATGTAAGGGTGGGTGGGGGACTCTTGACTTCTGGTGGGGGGGGCTCCTGACAGCTGATGTAATTGGGTTGGGGTGCATTGGACACCTGCTTTATCATTTTTATGAGAATAATACAACAACAATAATACAGTTCTATGCCAGTTGTAAAGGAGTGTTGTACACCGCTGGTATCATCCCCAAGAAACCTTACTGGAGACTGCTCAGACAGAACACCATGGCAGAACATTCTGTCTGAATCGTCTCCAATAATGTTCCCTACGAATGATACCAGAGCTGTGTGACCCTCCTTTTCAGATTTGCATCATCTGCTACAGGAGTGAGTGGGCTCCATGCCGGTTTGCACCTGCCCTTCACAGATGCGGAGCCTCGAATGTAGAGGCAATTATTTAATATGATAAACAGTAGATACATTTATATAGATACAACCGGCCATAGTGCTGATGCAGCCTGCTATGAAATTGAGTTTGACACCCCTGCCCTACATCCTTCCAAGCCCCAACTTCCAGGTCCCTACTGTACTTACCTCTGTGGGTGGTCTGTCAGTGCCCACACCACTGGTGCAGAGGTTCAGGGATTTGAAATCCCTGCTCTCCTCCTTCTCTCTGCAGCACTTCCAGGATGGATCAGAGTGGTGGGAGCTCTGTGCCGGCTCTGACCAATCATAATCTATCTGATCCACCTGGGAACTGAGAGTATAGAAGTGGTCAGGAGAGCATGAGGCACGGAGTGCAGGGGTTCAGGAGTGCGTGCGGGGGGAGGTCAGGAGTGGGTGAGACACTGAGAGTGCGGGAGGGGGGTCAGGAGTGGGTGCAGAAGGGGGGTCAGGAGTGGGTGCAGCACTGAGTGTGGTAGGGGGGGTCAGGAGAGGGGGGTCAGGAGTGGGTGCGGCACTGAATGTAGGGGGGTCATGATTGGGTGCAGAAGGGGAGGTCAGGAGTGGGTGCGGCACTGAGTGCGGGGGGAGGTTAGGAGTGGATGCAGCACTGAGTGCGGGGGGTCAGGATTGCGTGCGGCACTGAGTGTGGGGGGGAGGGTCAGGAGTGGGTGTGGCACACTGAGTGCGGGGAGGTCAGGATTGGGTGCGGGAGGGGGGTCAGGAGTGGGTGCAGCACTGAGTGCTGGGGTGGTCAGGAGTGGGTGCAGCACTGAGTGCTGGGGTGGTCAGGAGTGGGTGCAACACTGAGTGCTGGGGTGGTCAGGAGTGGGTGCTGCACTGTGTGCGGTGGGGTGGTCAGGAGTGGGTGCTGCACTGTGTGCGGTGGGGTGGTCAGGAGTGGGTGCTGCACTGTGTGCGGTGGGGTGGTCAGGAGTGGGTGCTGCACTGTGTGCGGTGGGGTGGTCAGGAGTGGGTGCGGCACTGAGTGCGGGGGGGGGGTGATCTGGAGTGGGTGCGGCACTGAGTGCGGGGGGTGATCTAATAATAATAATAATAATCTAATAATCTAATACATACATATTGGGCAGCACAGTGGCTAAATGGTTAGCACTTCCGCCTGGCAGTACTCGGGTCGTTGGTTCGAATCCCAGCCACAGCACCTCCTGCCTGGAGTTTGCATGTTCTCCCTGTGCCTGCGTGGGTTTCCTCCGGGTACTCCAGTTTCCTCCCACATTCCAAAGACATGCTGGTAGGTTAATTGGCTCCTGTCTAAATTGGCCCTTGTATATGAATGTGAGTTAGGGACCTTAGATTGTACACCCCTTGAGGGTTAGGGACTGATGTGAATGTACAATATATATGTAAAGCGCTGCGTAAATTGACGGCGCTATATATAAGTACCTGAAATAAATACTTGATCATAAGGAAGGCTTTATTCTGTAATTTCTTGAGGTTCACAAGGTTTGTGTGTCACAGAGGGTAATAGACACTATATAAGCTGACCAGATGCTGCTTATTTATAAATCATAGATGGCTATCCCACCTGTCAAAGTTTTTGCGTTGATAGAATATTCTATGTCGCTTTAGGCCATTTCATCTGTTCAGTGACGGTGTGAGAGGAGCGATGGAAAAGGAGGCAAGCCACCTGGAAAGACAGCATGTTCATAAAGTATATGAGAAGATTGCTCCTTACTTCAATGACAAACGGTACAAGGCCTGGCCAAAGGTACAAGAGTTCCTATTAGCTCAGGAGCCAGGAAGTCTGGTGGCTGATATTGGTAAGTGCCTTAATGAAAAGATTTTCATTTCATTACTAGTTGCCATAGCACTGTAGGGATTAACTCATGTATTTCTGAAATCATACAATTAATCACGTTCCTATGTACTACTTAATTCTTTAATATTTATATTTCTGGCACCTAGCTGGTCACAGCAGAATTAGACTGACCAGAGGAAGGGAAATATCTATCTAGATGGTCCTTGAGAACCACAACCTGATGCAATACTCACCCCCTTCCCATCTCCTTCCCTTCCTGCCCCAATCCTGAGGCCTCATTCACACTGGATGTTTTTTTCTCCCTTGGACGCCTTTGCTTCTTGCAGAAAAAAAAAGCAGCTTAAAAAACATAGCCAAAGGTGCGTTTTGCACACACGCTTATGAAAGTTCGTGCATTTGCCATTAATACATTCTATTAGCCAGAATTTATTCTGCCCATTAGAAAGCATTAATGTCTAAAATGCATTAAACATTTCCAAACACTCCTCTCCTGAACGCACTAGTGATATATTTTTTTTTTTTTTTTTGCTTTTTGTTTTTTTTTGTTCAGTTTTTTTGTTCAGTCTGTTCCACTTCTAATATGTCTGTAAACACCTATGTGTGCGTGGAAACACAGGCTAATGCAGAGATGCTTTTACAGGCTGAAAAAAATGTCAAAGGCCTACAAAAGTAGAATTTTTTTAAGCCCAGTGTGCACAAGGCCTAACAATGGCGCACACAACATTTCAGATTCCACAGTCTTTGTCTTTACCTAGGAGTTGAAGGATCAGGTTTTGCTTGGGGTAGATGTTCAACAATGGGAAAAATCTCCAACTGTCTGAATTACTCATTGGAGTTGATTTAGGCTCTGTTTCTGCCCATGGTCCCAAAACGCTCTGTAAAATTGACAAATCGCACCACGCTTGTTCAGGTGTCATTCATTTTCAATGGCACCTAAACATGGGTGCGAGTCTGCCATGATTGGCGTGCAATAAATCCCAGCAAACTGCATCCCGTGATGCTAATTGCTCAAAAAGACTCAAGAGCTTCTTTCGCAGCAACAAGCTTCGCACAATGAAGTTTACATGATTTATCGTGCTAGAAACTCACTGCGTTTTAGGTGCCATTAAAAATACATGGCATCTGAACACATGTGGTACGATTTGTCATTTTTATAAATGGCTCCCACTGCTGCCTCAGCCAATCAGGAGTGTGAGTCCCTGTAGAACCAAAGCTCTCATGGACATCGCTGGATTGTGATAGGGCTCAGGTGAGTGTTGGGGGGGGCAGGGGTGGACTGACCATTTGGAAACTCGGGCACTGCCCGAGGGCCCGGGGTCAGTAGGGGGCCCCATGAGATGCCCCTGGTACCTTTTTCATAGGCTTTTTTGAGTTTGGGCAAGGATACAGGGGCCCCATGATCCCCTATTGCCCGGGGGCCCCATGAGTTGTCAGTCCGCCCCTGTGGGGGGGGGGCTGCTACACACAGAAGGTTTTTTTACCTTCATGCATCGAATGCATGAAGGTAAAAACCTTGAGCCTTCACAACCATTTTAATGCATTCTATGCATGAAGGTAAAAAAACCTGCATGCACTGCCCCCCCCCCCCCCCACACCCAAGCCCAATCTTGATCCAATGATCTGCATGAAAGCAGCAGATCTCCCTGCTTTCTGCTTCCTCATTGACTCAGAGACAGCAGTGAGAGCCACTGGCTCTTGCTGCTGTCAATCATGGCCAGTAAAGAGGGAGCCAGGGGACAGGGCTGAGACATGTTCTGTGTGTGAATGGACACACAGAGCAGTGGAATGGGAGCGAGCACGCGCAAGTGCCCCCATATTAAGTGTCTTGCTATGAGGGCGCTCGGCAGGGAAAAGAGCTAGGAGCACCAGTGGGGCACTCGAGAAGAGGTGGGCCGGGGCTGCTGTGTGAAAAACCACTGCACAAAGCAGGTAAGTATAACATGTTTGTTGTTATTTAAAAAAAATAATCTTTTACAATTACTATATAATTGAACCTTTAAATCTGCTAATTATGTTCCAGATGCATCAAAACAAATAATGTTCAGTGCCGTACAGTTAATTTTCTTTATAAGGCTGGCCATAGATTATGCAAATATTACAGTATCATCTTTTCCTTTTTTCTCTTTTTCCCTTTTTTCTCTTTTCCCTTTTTTTTTTCTCTTTTTCCTTTTTTTTTTCTCTTTTTCCCTTTTTTTTTTCTCTTTTTCCCTTTTTTTTTTTCTCTTTTTCCCTTTTTTTTTCTTTTTCTCTTTTTTTTTTTTTTTCTCTTTTTCCCTTTTTTTTTCTCTTTTTCCCTTTTTTTTTCCTCTCTTTTTCCCTTCTTTTTTTTCTCTCTTTTTCCCTTTTTTTTTTTTTCTCTTTTCCCTTTTTTTTTTTTTTTTTTCTCTTTTTTTTCTTTTTTTTTTTTTTTTTTTTTCTCTTTTCCCCTTTTTTTTTTTTCCCCTTTTTTCTCTTTTTCCCCTTTTTTCTTTTTTTTTTTTCTCTTTTTCCCCTTTTTTTTTTTCCCCTTTTTTCTCTTTTTCCCCTTTTTTTTTTTTTTTTTCTCTTTTCCCCTTCTTTTTTTTTTTTTTCTCTTTTTCCCCTTCTTTTTTTTTTTTTTCTCTTTTTCCCCTTCTTTTTTTTTTTTTTTTCTCTTTTTTCCCCTTCTTGTTTTTTTTTTTCTCTCTTTTTCCCCTTCTTTTTTTTTTTTTTCTCTTTTTCCCCTTCTTTTTTTTTTTTTTTTTCCTCTTTCCAAAGAATACACCACTCAACAAAACAGAAATACAATGAAAAAACACTAAAAGTAATATTACTTACCAACAAAGTCCCAGGGGTTGAAAGAGAAAATCACTTAATTCCCCCATCAACACAGTCAGTGTTGATGGGGGTCCTCCTCCCACTGTGATATTGTATTCTGACAGTAGGAGATTTTGCCTCTGCCAGAATACAATGGTCACCGTTTCCGGCTATAGCCAGCGACAGTGATCGAATTCAGTACAACCAGCCTGCCCATAGATGGATCAAAATTCATCTGGTTCCTGCTGAACTGGGTGAATTTTACATCCTGACTATCCCCGACTTAAAGCAGCCACAACCTTAATGGAAAAACTTTTTTCCCTGCCCAGGAAGCTGTGGTCTCATTGCAGAGGTCGGACATGCCCATAACTGAGTCATAGTTATATAGTACCACAATTGGCAAAGCTCATGTTTCCTGATGTTTGGAGAACTCTGGCTCTCACTCAGCAGGGAGTGTGTTTGACCTCTGCAAAATGATTACTCCTGCCACACAGAGGACAAAGGTCCAACTCTGCAGCATGCTGGCAGGGGTCAGGATTTTCTATTCACAATGTGACTTTTTCAAATAAAAACTCTTAAGATTTTGCAAACATTTTGCTTTGATGCACCTGAAATGTACAGTCAGGTCCATAAATATTGGGACATCGACACAATTCTAACATTTTTGGCTCTATACACCCACCACAATGGATTTGAAATGAAACGAACAAGATGTGCTTTAACTGCAGACTGTCAGCTTTAATTTGAGGGTATTTACATCCAAATCGGGTGAACGGTGTAGGAATTACAACAGTTTGCATATGTGCCTCCCACTTGTTAAGGGACCAAAAGTAATGGGACAGAATAATATTCATAAATCAAACTTTCACTTTTTAATACTTGGTTGCAAATCCTTTGCAGTCAATTACAGCCTGAAGTCTGGAACGCATAGACATCACCAGATGTTTGTTTCATTTCAAATCCATTGTGGAGGTGTAGAGAGCCAAAAATGTTAGAATTGTGTCGATGTCCCAATATTTATGGACCTGACTGTATGTGGCTTTTTAAACTGAAAGGTTAAATTTGGCTTTAAATCTGTCACAAAATTTTCATTTTATCAGACATGTATGGACATCCAAAGGTAATACAAAGAAGAATTATATCATGCAGTAAAGGCAATTTAGTTCAGTACAGTTAGTCCAAAATAAAATATTGTCTAATTGATTGCTATGGGTTACTGCATGTTGACCATAATTACTGCTCTTCGCACAGTCGTATTGCATAGGCTCAGTTGCGTTCCGCTTGCTAACACCTTGCACTAATTTCACCAAAAATTTTAGATGTAACTTTAAACCCCTTCGCTGCCACTGACATAACTATTATATCTCTAGCATGATTGTTTACAATAGCTGGGATTTTGTTTATATATTTTTTACTGTTTGCCTGCTAAAAAGTGATTTGGGTGGCTGAAAAGCCAACAGATCGGGGGGGCGCTCGTGAGCAGCGCGGGTGAATGGCAGCTTGAAAGCCGCGCTCCTTCACCGCCGGGCACATTAGGTCTTCTCTCTGCCTCTTGGGGAGCCCGTTCTATCCCCCACCTTTGCCCTCACCTTCCGCTGATCCCCCCGCCACCTATGGGAAAAAAATCAGCGGCCTCCAGCGCTCACTTGCCGAGCCAGTCTGCCGATGTGGCCTACTCGTCGGCAGAAGCCCCGGCCTCAATTTTTGCCGCATACCGCCGCTACCCTCGGGCAGCCGGGACACCATCTCGAACATGGAGAGTCTGCTTGACAACTCTGCAGACCTCCCACAGTCCCCTATGCAGGACGCCGACCTCCCACGGCCCTCCTTGCGGGCCGCAGACCTCCCACAGCCCCCCTTGCGGGATGCAGACCTCCTGGCCAGATTCAAGATCATGCTGCAGCAGGAGCTTCACACCACCACCTCCAGACTAGCGACTCATCTCACCAAGGAAATTCGCAAATTGGGAAGCCGCACTGATGTTCTTGAAGATAAGATGGATGCCGCGGCTACGGTGATCAAAAATCATGAACAGAACCTTTCAGAACTGAGAAGAGAGCTTGACGCGGCTCTTTTATGCCTGGAAGATTTTGAGAATAGGTCCCGTCAGGGTAATCTTTGTCTGCGTGGCCTGCTCGAAGCCATCGTTGACCTCACGTCAACTGCTAACGCACTTTTTCTAGAATTGGATCCGCGATACGGGTAGACTGTTTGGAGTTCGATCAC